CATTACTACTACGTGAATCTTTCCGTTCTGTCAAAACATTCAGTACTGTATACCACTATCCACATAACAAAAAGCTTAAGAAAAAACTTCATTCTTTGATTCATGGGGCTTTTGTAAATAAACATGGTGAACAAAGATATACCTACATATCTATCTTCAAAGGTTCAGGACAATTTGTCAAAAATGAAAGCAAATGCCATTTGAAGTTTGCCGAGAAAACAATATGTAAAGTGCTGGACTTTCTCACAGATAACGTCTTTGTGAAATTTGGGGGTAAAACATTTCGCCAAGAAGTCTGCATCCCCACTGGCACCAATTGTGCTCCCCTCGATGCGGATCTGTTTCTTTATGCATATGAATCAGAACTTAGAGGAGAAATCTACACCAATAAACAAGAACAACATGTTATTAGAATGGATATTGACACTTTAAATGACAAAACAACAGATATAGAGACACAATTAGACAATCTAGACACACGTCTATAGGACCAGGAACAGTGTAGCAGGAGGAATAACATTGCTATATAATGTCCAGGAAACTGGTGATAATGAGACCTACACAGAAAGTAAGAACAAAGTGATCGATATTCTCAATAAAGCTAGAGTGACTAAAGATCTCCCACCCCTTATACCTAGAGACATTGAGAGAGCCCATAGGATCGGCAAAAAGAACGATAAGACAAGACCAATCATCGTCCGTATGAACCATTGGGAGAATAAGTTGCATTCTGCAAATTTGAGGAGTGTGTTTAAAGAGCAGGGAGTTGGTATAGCCAATAATCTCACCATCCATCAGCGAAAGGAACTCAACCGCTTGAGAGACGCACACCCCCAATACCCGCTTCTACTACAAGGGGAGCAAGATAATGCAGAACCCTAAAGAAGACCAGACTAGACCAGGGGACAATCGGAGTCAACCGAGGTCTGACACTCGCGGAGACTGAGACCGAGACCGCGGGGACACGAGACGGGCTTTGAGATCGTCATCGCGACCCACTGATAGAGACCACACCCGCTAGGGAAGTGGCCAAGGCCGGATCATGTGAGACTGACGACTGACGACTGCGGAAATGTTTGAGAAACGGTTAATTTAATTTTTTGGAACATTTCCGGTATCGTGCAAAAACAATGTGCTATGTGAGAACGTTCATGAATTGCTAGACAAATCTGTTGACTGTGCTTTCACTAGTATAGACGAAAGTATAGCATATATGACAGATGCGATCTGTTCAGCGGCTTCGTGTATGAGAAAATAAGTTGGTCAATCCAAAACATACTTGAAAAGTTTGTTTGACTCAGATTGCGAAAAACTAAAAAACTGAAAGATGCACACTTCTTAATACGTTCCGGAAATATAAAGACAATCATTCATTTGACATCGTAAGAAACCAATAATGAAATCCTCAAGAAAAACGTCTTGACTATTTTAGAGAAAAACGAATAACTATAGAAAATAGCATATCTAACTCCAAACATTTCTGGTCTGAACTTAAACGTTTGAATAACATTCAAGAAAGGCAAAACAATATCCGGATAGATGATTGGTTGTCACACTTTAGGTGTTGTGGTGTTGATACAGTAGCTCATAGCAATAATCATAATTATCATGACAATACAGATCAGACCAACCTGAACCAGCAAAATTCAGAACTTACTGCAAGTATGCTTGATTCACCAATCACCAGAGAAGAGATTTTTGAAAGTATTGACGATCCTAAATCAAACAAATCACCAGGATTTGATGGCATTATATCAGAATTCTTCAAACATCCGTCAGACCGTATCGCACCATACCTAGAACTACTATTTAATATCATATTGGAAAATGGTACTTTCCGACACTGTTGGACGATTGGTATAGAGGAGTAACATTGCTTAGTATATTTAGTAAGATTTTCACTTTGATAGTTAATAAGAGACCTGTAAGCTGGGGAGATACAATGAATAAGATAAACGAATCGCAAGCTGGTTTTAGACATGGATATACCATTGTTGACAACATGTTTATTTTACAAAGTGTAATACAAAGATATTTGAATTCAAAAGGAGGAACGTTGTATGCCTTATTTGTAGATTTTGTGAAAGCCTTCGACTTTGGTCTGTATTTCAATGCCATGGTCTTAGTAACAAATGAGTAAACTTTTGGCTAATATGTATGAGAACGTGAAGGCACGTGTTAAAAATAATCAAGAATCTTCGGAAACGTTCGAATTACAACTTTGTGTACGGCAAGGATGTATACTTAGTCCGTTCCTGTTCTGATTCTTCATCAATGAGCTTGCTGTTCAAATTGAAACTAACTGTTCAAGTGGCATACAACTTCATCCAGAAATAGTCAAACTTTTCCTTCTGTTGTTTGCAGACGACGTTGTGTTGTTTTCAAGCACCGTTAGTGGCCTCCAAAATCAAATAAATGAACATTACTGCGATAAATGGAAATTAACAGTAAATAGAGAGAAAACACAAAAATTAAAAAGGGAGGTAAACTTTCAAAAAACAAAAAGTGGTTGTTTAAGGGTTTAAGACTGTGTTACCTATTATAAATATTTGGGATTGTATTTTACCAATGGGTTGTCTTGGGCCATGCATGTCAAATATGCTTCGCTCCACCCCAAAAAGCACTTATCGGTATTATGAAGACAATAAGTACACTTGGAGATATTATTTACAAAACCTTTTTTAAGATCTTTGATGCAAAAATAAACCCAATTTTGACGTATGAAGCAGAAATCTAGGGATCAGTAGACTTTCATCAAATAGAAAGAATACACTTGTATGCATGTAAGAAATATCTTGGTGTTAAATTGAATACAGTTAACGCAATGGTTTACAGTGAATGTGGCAGATATCCAATGCACTTGTTCACAAGCATAAAAGTTGTCAAATATTGGTTAAAACTGTTAAATATGCCTTCATATCGGTTACCGAAAAAATGTTATAATATGATGTTATTGTATGATGAAAATAGACAAAGAAATTGGGCATCTCATGTTAAGAACTTCTTATTCTCTATTTCGTTCGGAAACGTTTGGAATGCACAATATGTACAATCTCGTACGTCATTTTATGCAGTCGTTAACCATAAGACTTAAAGATAGATATCTTCAAACATGGTGTGAGAAAATATATTTGTCAAGTAAATGTTTCTATTATTAAAAATTTAAAAAAAGATCTATTCAATGAAGTATACTTATCATGTGCTAATATAAAGAGATTTAGGCGTTCACAAGCAAGATTCAAATGTTCATCTCACGATTTGTTCATTGAAAGCGGCAGATATAAAAATGTTAAAAAAGACTGACTGACTGACTGAGTTTAGTTTTACGCCGCTTTTAGCAATATTCCAGCAATATCACGGCGGGGGACACCAGAAATGGGCTTAACACATTGTGCCCATGTGGGGAATCGAACCTGGGTCTTCGGCGTGACGAGCCAACGCTTTAACCACTAGGCTACCCCACCGCCCCTGTTAAAAAAGAAGACAGAATATGTACACTGTGTAATTTAAATGAAATTGAAGGTGAATACCGCTTTCTTCTCATCTGTCCATCGTATAATTCAATACGCAGTAAATATATTAAAAGGTATTACTATGTCCATCCAAATATCATACATTTCTCTACTCTTATAAGCAGTAAAAATCAAAATATGTTACAAAATCTTGCCATGTTCATTCACAATGCAATGTTGTATAGGACAAAAGTATTATCAGTGTAATGTAAATATATTTATTTATGTAAATCCCCATCATATATGTACTAAAGGCCTGTGGCCTCTTCAGTACAAAATAAAGGATCGAAACAGTCGAGCATTTTCCCAACAGCTCCACAACGTTTGAGGTACAATCGAGTGTACTCTTTTTATCAGGATTTCAAAGAGAGTCATGCCACTCTTGCTCAGAAGTTGTTTGATAAAGGTTACAACATTCAAGGCCTCAGTAAAGCCATTCCCTTTTTTAACTATACCATACGTGCCCGCATTATTTCAGGTGAACTAATGACTAGACTGAGCATATGTTTATGACGGGTGACACCGGTGGACAGTATACGCTCACCTTTTCGCGAACACCTGGTATAATCACTGTTTCATAATGATTCATGAACACATATCGCATGGTGGCAATCACTGGATTGTCCGGTTCAGTCCCGATTTGTTAACAAACTACAATATACAGCTGTAATACTGTTCAAACAAATATCTGTTCATGATATAGCCACAATTGTACAACAGACTCTGCTTTTGGCAGAGATTACTTATGAATGTGGACAGGGTTTTGTCGCTTCTATATGCTTACACGATTTGCCTTCCGGGTATATTGTAGAGTTGATAATAGTCGGGGAAGGTGTTGGATTCTCAGAAATATTGCCATTGCGTGTAGTCATGTCCAGGTGATATATTCAGAATTTCCCGAAAATATTGCACCACAACCATTTCCTTAATCTTCTTGGAGATATGTAATTGCATGTCAGTCGTTCACATTAAATAGCGGACAAATTAAAACAGCGATCATCAATATAAATTATATTTCCATCATGATATATATTCATGATTCAATTTGCACAATGCCAGTAAATGGGCACGGATTAAAAAATAATCCAAATGAGAGACATCATTTATTTTGACAAAACAGTGTCTTGATACAATGCAACATATCCAAACATTTGGGTAGTTAGAAGTTCAAATAAATACTGAAGTTAAAGGTTATTCTAACAGTATATTGTTACATTGTGACATATCAAAATATTTAGGTAGATAAAAGATCTAACATTAAAACTGAAATGAAAACAAATTCCACCAACCCCCTCTGACTACTCATTAAATCATCTAGTTCCTCCTCTGTTGTTGGTTGTATCTACCCAAGTACGTCCAGTGGCAAAGATAATGAAGTGAGTGAGTTGGGTTTTACGCTGCTGTTAGCACTATTCCAGCAATATCACGGCTGGGGACACCACAAATGGTCTTCACGCACTGTGCCCATGTGGGAAATCGAACCCGGGTCTCCGGCGTGACGAGTCAACGCTTTAACCACTAGGCCCTCCCACCGCCCCTAAAGCTGATGAAACTCCTACAACAGGTTCTTGTCCAAATTGAGCAGCAGAGGTAGATGATTTCATTCATCCTTGGTAAGCAGCGTCGTTTTGAAACTGGATAAACGTGCTTGCTGAACGTAAAGACGAAAATGATTCGTATACTTACAGGAATGTATTTATCTTCTCAGTAGGACAGAACATTACAGTATTATTCCTAACTATTGTATTATTTATTCTAGCTGTAGCAATTGACACTCATCACATGTAATCAAAATCATCTTTTCTACTCAGATCCATGTGTTCCTATCCACCAACAAGAATCCTGATCTTGGACAAAGCCGACGTTTTTACATAACGCGATTGATGCGATATTGTCTTCCAGAACATTGGCATGTACCTCTTCCATTTGCTGCAGACACAAAGCAGCAAGATGGGAAGTGATCAGCTCACCATATCCTTTCCTTCGATGTTCCTTCAGGACATGTAGGCAACCTAAATACCCATAATGGTAAACCAAGGCGTATCCTACCAGGGAACTTTCCCTGTTGTACAGACAACACGACGGTTGTTTGCTGATGAGTTCTTTGATGTATGGCTCAGAGTGTATACCGTCATTGTGAGGCCACATTGAATTGACTAGAGGGGCTTGTTCAGGAACAAGACTTCTAATCTTGAATCCATATGGAACAGACCTGATATAAGAATAGTTTACAATAGTATACAGATTCGCTTACTTATCGAAGCCATTTACATCAGACTCCAAAAGCCCACCATCAACTGTGATTTAAAATCCACTCTAAATCATCCATACTGAGGATCACTGAAAATGTCGTCTGCTAGCAAGTAAACAAAGGGAGATAACTCTTCGCAAACTAATGAAAAAGGATTAACGGAGTTGTCTCTCTTGAATGAAACCAAGCACTTGATAGCTGGTCAAGGTTGTTTATACTAGAAATCCAATTAAACATATTCCTAAAATGCTCAATAATTTCTGGTCATACTTTACCTATTGAACTGGGATTTATGAGTGATAATGATGCATCATCTAAAAATGCATCATGTCTCACCATGGCTTCAGCGTCTTTTCTGTGACTTTCATGTCAAAGTGCAAGTCCATATAATGTTGTCTGTTGTGCTTCTGCATGGCGTTAACAACGGCTGGCATTTCGTATGTATACACACCTGGGGAATATATACATATAAGGAAACTCAACATTTTAAGACAATTAAAACGTGTAGCCTTGTAGTCAGTACTTTAACGACGCCATGGAAAGAAACATGTCTCTTCATGATAACAAAAACATTGGTAGTGAGTGGGTAATGTTTAACGCCCATACCATAATGTCCTCTTTAATATCTTACCCTTTAAGCAAACATCAGATTCCATCCTTCCAGTCCACAAGAAGACGCTATACACATGAACATTAATCAAGCATCCAAGGGCAATTAGTATTACTTTCTGCCCAAACAGGCGATATTAATCAAACATATGGTAAGTGGGTAGTGTTTTACCCCGTACCTGGATGTCCACTATTATATCTTATCCTTTCAACATATATCAGGTTCCATCCTTCCAGTCGAACATTAATTAAGCACTATCTGAATCCAAGGGCAATACTGAATATTTTTTTCCAGACAGGCGATCATGCTCACTTATACTGATAAGAATTAGCACAACCTTCCTCTTGCCAGTCGTGCGATATTTAAAGGTCACATGCAACGTAAAACACAACTTTGCAGATTCTGATACTTTTAGCTATGGACTTACCGAAACAAATCATCAAAAATGCAAATTCAACTTATAAAAGTTGAAAAATAACGCGATGAAAAAACCCGCGCGAAATCGGAGTTCAAACGATTCACTCATTTTCCCCCGACTTTTCGGGGGAAAACTGGTTTCAACAGCTGGGCTGCGCTCATAGCACATGCGCAGTGAAATAGGTTCGCGCAACTTGGAAGCGGGCTGTCCGGTGAATACTCGGTGAAGGCTTTGGTGTGAGCTATTTTCCTAATGTTTTGTTGATATCTCACAGGCTCGAGCTTTTTATATGTTATGACAGTAAATAAACTGTTTATATAATTTCATTTGTCTATTTCACCACACGTTCTTCTTACCGAGTCACTTTCTCAGTTCGATACTTAAAAGCAATGTCCGAGTTCGGTCTCTGTCACATTATGTAATTACACAGACAGGCAGGTGTGATACTTGAACACATGACATGTTATGATGTCTGTTGATTGCAAAATGTTATACACAAAAAAAGAGCATGTATTTACAAAACCCAACATCTCTATATATACACACACAATGAGCCGTGAGGGCATCTGCGAATGAACCAGCCGATACACTTGAGTGCACACCCACCCGCTCTGACTGGGTTCGGTATCCCGGCTGCTTCGTTTCTTGGGAAGTAAACCCAAGTACACAATATTGCACTTTTGATTTGCGATTGTACGCTTATATTTTGTTTATATGTTTTTTCATAACCAGCAATGTATATTATATGTCATGAATAATTATGTTTGATTTTTTGGTTGCATGTGACCTTTAAGGATGACAATGCCAGAGCTCACTGTTCTCTCAGTTCTGGTTTTAATCAGAGTAAAATATGGTACAGTTGCAATTTTGATTGGCGGAATTTGGCTTTCAAGGCATATAAAACAACATGTTGTGTTTTGTACTTACTTTTAAAAAGTAGGTGGTACTTGATAAATGTTCATGTGTATAGATGCATAACGATTATCCATGACGTGTGCTATTACTGGCCTTCTTACACCATGTAATGGCAAGACAGGTTACGACAAGAATATTATTAAAGGGTGCACCGATCTCAACGCGCTCACATGCATTCTATCTGACCTCACCTGCAAACCCAACTTTTGATGCCCAATCTATCACATGAGTCGTTTGAAGTATAGTCTCCAGAGCACCAGAGTCTGTGGCATAAACACTGCTGGCCATATCCAGATGTTTTGGGTACTGAAACCATCAGATATATTTTACAAGTACTATTTGAACGTCATGTTACTAAAACTGAACATCATTTACAAGATAAGCATCTATTGAGGCATTCGTGACATACTTTATACTGCCACTCAGTGTTCAATTTTGTGGAGGCAATATGAAAAGGATAGTATTTTACGCCACTCTCAGCTAAATAATCGTTTCTTTACCAGTTACACAAGGTGACATAAATAGAGTCAGAACGTGGATACATTCTGTTCCAACGACGAATTCCAACTCGGATTCAAGAGGACATGGATTTTGAAGTCAGCATTGTCTTCATTTCCTTTACGTTCCTTCGATTTCATTCCGTCGACCATACTGTGTTTTTCATACTCTTTGGAGTTTATTCGGTCTTGTGTGTAGTGTATTCTATTGATCGTAAAATGTTCTGTGTTCCCTGGATATTTCTTTTAAAATTATATAACTTTGATACTTGAATATATTCATTACAAGGAACGATATAACAGAACAGTGGCACTGGTTTACCTTGGCTGTAACTGGATTGACACGAGCAACCAGTGCTCTGTAATCTGGCCAGCGGTCCACTATGAAGTCATAGTCAGTTATCACCGATCGCAGTTTTGAAATTATTTCACCTCGAATCTGTTGTACAGGAGAATAAGTGTAAGCGTTATTTGATTAACATAACATGCATCTACCTTTAAGGTGGAGCGACAATTGTGGTTGATGACATGACGATTTCAATATACATAACACGGATAAACAGACAATGGTAAAGTTCTGATCTGCTGGCTTATTTTTCAAGCAAATGCCTAATATATGAACAAACAATCATCAATTATAACGACTGGATAGTGCCTCATTTGTTATCGGTTCAGTATTATGAAAAATGATATTGTTCGATAAATCGTTACCTCAAAGTTTAAAAGAAGATTAACATTAAGGCAGAACACAGTTTCGGTACATATAAGTTTTTATTTCTAAATGCTGCTGATACTGTAACACAATATATTCAAAACAGTATAAAACAGGGCGGACAAGAAAGTCAACAATGAATTAATCTGTAAACATACAGTTGTCGTGGCAATGCTGATTAGCAGATCATTTGTACATTTTGTAGATCCACCGTCAATATTTTGCCGTAGAGAGTAAAGCTATGATTACAATCCTGAACAAAAACAGGCCTAACAGAGAAGTGAGTGATCTTTGGTCGACGACCACACCTGTAGGGATATTGACGAATACACCGACGAAGTGTGTGGTTGCACCGACTTATACCTCACTTTTATGGAGATTGAACGTTCGGTATTAATGCCAGAAAGTAGGAGTGCTTGTCTGCATCCATTAGTGGGTGGCACGCTGGTCAATCGGGAAAGATACAACATCAGTACTTTATAACAATAAACATGATCAACATATTTTCTGAATTTAATCAAGACCGGCAATTGTTGTCATGGGTATCTATGTACAGGTTTCAATATCAGATATACAAAACTTTCAGGTAGGTCTGTGCTCCTCCTGTGCTTCGTCATTGCAAGCCTTTCAAACCATCCAACTCTAAATGTTCATTATCCCATTTTTATTATTTTCTTTTAGGTTACCACGGCAACTCGACCTTTTAATGAGAAAGTTGACAAGCAGCTCGTCATGGAGAAGTGACGCCGTCTTTGCATACAAAAGAACGAAAAGGCTGCAAGAGGTGTATACTCCCTAGGGAGTTGAGATTGAAGGATGCCAAATCTGTGGAATCTGCAGAGCCGAAACTGCTGACGAAAATGTTCAGGACGAGTCCAATCCCAGAAACAGTTGCGCATCAGTGTTCTTCTGCCAAGACACGCGTCATCATTAAGCATCGATGTTCTGTTGTTATTGTCTCGTTGCCGTCATATCCAACGTTAATAGGACAAAAACAATCTTGAAGAGAACAGGAAAAAGCAGTACGAAGTACAATCCACCCGGTACACCAAAGAGAGAGCTTTTGATAATCCCGGTATAAATGTAGAACGTCAGTACAAAAACAATATTTAGTCTTGACTATCCTCGGAAACGGAAACGTTTGATGTTAAGGGAACAACAGATGTGGAAATTATATGAATGGATCACTGAAACCAGATGATCGCGAAAAGGGTGAGCATGTCCAGCCCTACCCGCCACAATACTGGTGTAAAATGGAAAGATTTTCTGCCTTACGCCGCACAGTAGTAACCCTGCAACACTGCAAGATCTGTAAATGTCAGCCAATCCCATCCTGTAACTTTCTATTTGCATTCATGTGGTGTGGTGTCCCTATTTTCGAAAATGGATGCGACAGTTTTGGGGGCGCGGTGGGCGAGCTGGCAAAGGCGCCAGGCTAGTGATCCAGCGAGGTTGAGGTGCCGGGATCGAGCCCACCTGTGACCGGGTGTAAAAACCTTGGAGTCAACTTTGTGTGCAGACTCTTTCAGTGTTGTCACAACCCCTAGTGTACAGTACACAACCCTGTGCACTTAAAAGAACCCACGAATCCGTTGGTATATGACCAGATGGTGGCCACATGAATACGTCTGACTGACTGAGTTTGGTTTTACGCCGCTTTTAGCAATATTCCAGCAATATCACGGCGGGGGACACCAGAAATGGGCTTCACACATTGTGCCCATGTGGGGAATCGAACCCGGGTCTTCGGCGTGACGAGCGGACGCTTTAACCACTAGGCTACCCCACCGCCCTCATGAATACGTGCAAATACCTAGTTGCGGGTACAGCAACGTGCAGTGAACTTGGACAAAGTACTGTGACTATGTGTCCCAGTCCCCCAGCTGTGAATGGGTACCTCGTAAGGATGGGAAAGCCACACTTACTCGGTGCGCCTAGTGGCTGCAAGAGGTGTATACTCCCTAGGGAGTTGAGATTGATAATACCATGTGCCGTTGAGATTGACATCCAATGATCGAAGGAAAAAATACCAGCGCCTTGAGCATGCACTAGTTGCCTGGATATGTGCGCTGTATAAATATCCTATAATTAAAAAAAATAACAATAATTTCCTTTTGTGAAAGAGATTTCGAAATGATTATAATCTCAGAGGTGTGGCTAGAATGTATCTTACTATATACATGCATGCTAATGTCTGATGTACTAGAAGTCACAGGGTCAGTTATCGGAAGATATCATCCCAAGCGATCCATGCTTGATGACAGCTGGTCCTGTGTAGTATGTGACATACCTTCCTGGTATACTTGTATTTGAAGGACAAATCATCGTAGTAAAACGACATTACTACTTGTGATTTACATACACGATTTGCCTTCCGGGTGTTTTGTAGAGTTGATAATAGCCGTGGAAGCTGCTGGTTTCTCAGGAAGATCGCCATTGCCTGCAATGATTGCCAAGTGATGTATTCAGCATTTCCTGAAAATACAGCCATTTCCGTTATCTTAATGGAGATATGAAATGGCAAGTCAATCGTTCAATTAAATATAAGCGAGACCATATGGGACAAATTAAAGCATCGATTCTATCTGCCATCATCAATATCAATTATATTATGATTAAGATATATATTCATTATTCAATCCCAGGTTATGGGCACTGATTAAAAGAATCCAAATGAGGGACATTATGATTAATGTTTATTCTAACAAAACAGTGCCTTGATACAATGTAACATATCCAAAACATTTAGGTAGTTAAAAGTTCAAATAAATATTATTTTTAAAACTGAAATTAATGGTTATTCTAACAAAATAATATCGTGATACATTGTGACATATCAAAATATTTAGGTAAATAAAAGATGGAACATTAAAACTGAAGCTAAACAACCTCCAACTCCCTCACAACAAACCTTACACAGCAGAGGAGAATCGGGACTGTTGCTGTCACTACCACAGCTGCTACCATCTGCAAGACTTTGTAGTGTTGCGTTATTCATAGAACAAGCAGTGCTCTGACAACATATTAAATCATCTAGTTCCTCCTCTGTTATTGGTTGTATTTTCTTAAGTGGATCCAGTGGCAGAGTTGATGAAGTGAGTGAGTTTTTTATGCCGCTTTTAGCAATATTCCAGCAATATCACGGCGGGGGACACCAGAAATAGGCTTCACACATTGTACCCATGTGAGTGAGTGAGTTAATAATAAACGTCACATCGGCAATATTTCAGCCATATCGTGACGAGAACATTTGATATTGAAATAAAATATATGTATGTTATAAAACACCTGCCGACGAAGGACAGTAAAGCAACTAGAGTATCACAGATATACATGTAAAACTAGTAATTGGATCTAAAACATTTTAACCATAGGGGACAACACAATATAAAAATGGGCTATAGATCGCCACCATGTGGGGAATCAAACCCGGGGTCTTCGGCCTAACGAGCGTTCGCTTTAACCACTAGGCTACCTCATCGCCTTTAAAGCCGATGAAACGCCTACAACATATTCTTGTCCAAATGGAGGAACATGGAGAGATGATTTCATTATTCTGTGAAAAGCAGCGTCTTTTTGAAATTGGCTAAACTTGAATCCAATAGTCCATTTTGTACTATCATTTTCTCGCATCCAACACCTCAACATGTTTTCAACATCGCCATTTGCCCGTTCTACACTTCCTTGGCTTTGCGGATGTCGAGCCTTTCCGTGTACAATCATTATCTGTTATTCACCTGATGAAGAGGCAAGAAGTCGTCCAGACACGTCGAGTTGTAAATAATACAGTACTGGTAAATCCATACCATACGTTGTTATATGCACAATAGTTAAACCCAGACGGATTTAGAAACGCACCACCCTAAAATGCACTAAAAATGTGAAAACACAGGTTGGAATGAATGAACGATCCACTATGATAGGGAGCTCAGCATGTAAAACACACATCCATGGATGGACTGTGGCGTTAAAATGCAGCCACATCTGTGACGCTATATCATGAAAATCATGAAATGCATGTGATTTTCAAAATTCTGACGCAAATATCCACAAATGCACATGGGTATAAAAGACCACAATTTCCAAACTGTTTATCATCAGTTTAAGTGAGAATTCAACCGTGATGGACCCTGTTGACCATGCCGCGTTTGGCATGGGAAGAGCGAGAAAGTTCAGTGGGTTACTTGAATGCTGGATGGTCGACTCGGGAAGTGGCTCAAACATTCAACTGCCATCAGTACACAATCGTCAGACTCCGCCAACGCTTTCAGCAGACTGGAAGTACCCGTGACCGTCAACGTCCTGGACAACCACGTGTCACCACGCCCAGACAAGATCGACACATTGTGTTGTCCCACTTAAGGAACAGAACCCAGACTGCTACACGTACAGCTTTGACAATCCAGGTTCGACGTGGAATCATCAGCGACCAAACCGTACGGCGTCGTTTACGTCAGTATGGCGTCAACCCTCGGCATCCCTACAATGGCCCCATATTGACACCCAGACACCGACGCCGTCGATTAGACTGGGCTAGGACACATCGAAGATGGACGCAGCGACATTAGGAAGGTGTGCTCTTCACTGATGAATCACGTTTTCATCTGAGTAATGCAGATGAAAGAGTTCGTGAATGGCGACGTCGTGGAGAACGCTATGCGGATTGCTCTGTGCGACAGGTAGATCGTTGGGGTGGGGATAGTGTGATGGTTTGGGGCGACATCAGTGTCCATTCAAGAATGCCATCACACGTGTTTGGAGGACATTTTAATGCCATCACCTACACAAACGACGTCTTACAAAAGCACGTCATTCCGCATCTGAACGCCAATCCACGCCATTCATTAGCAAGATAATGCTCGAGCACACACAGCAAGGCACATCATGGACTTTTTTGACACAAAACAACGTGGATGTGTTTCCATGACCAGCTCTGTCACCCGATTTGGCCCCGATTGAGCACATCTGGGATGAAATGGGCCGACGTCTAATGATGGAACCACCTGCAGTCAATGCCTGTCAATTGGAGGTCAGCCTGCAGCGTGTATGGCAACAGATACCCCAGCGAATAATCCGGAAGGTGATCTTCTCTCTCAGACGGCGCTGTGTTGCAGTAATCAACGCCAATGGTGGACACACCAGCTACTGACAGTTTTCACAGTGACTTTGGGTTTTGACCCCTGGTGCCTCTATACGAGTCATGCCCTGTCAATGCATCTTTCTTCGTCAACATGTTTTCGTCCTTTGTTGAGGAATCTCCACATTTCTGACGATGCTAAGATATCATGGGTACATTTCAGTCTGACGGTGTTATTTCGTATGATATGGGTGGTGCGTTTCTAATGTTGTTCAGTATATTTCATTGATCACCTCAGCAACAAATTCACGATCATTGTCACCCTCTATGATCCGAGGCGACCCAAATGTTGTAAAAGGATCCACTCGTTTAAATGCCACATCTACAGCCCTCGTCAATTTAAGGTCTCAAAATTGAAAATTTACTCATGTGATCTTGACAATGCAATATGTACCGGTAGCCACAATCGGGTTCTGTTTGCATGTCAATTGGACACGACATATTTTATTTATTTTTTTAAATAATTGTATTGTTTTTAAAGACATTTCACTGACTATTCAGAAAACTCAACAAAGGACATATTTTTTCCATATATGTGGCCATAGAGTACATATATACACACCCGCACAATCAACCCGTGGCAGCATTTACTCTGCCCAACAGAATATTTAATGATTTGTGGCTTTAGCCCGCTGTGATCTTCCTGGGGGTACTGCCAAAAGCGGTAATAAAATTGTGTACGAGTTCCGGAATCGGACTTGCTGAGGTACACCAGTAGGATGGGCCAGGTTCGATTGAATTGCAAATAACGATATTTATATTGAGGGAGATCAATATTTCTTACGAGAAATTGTCTGTACGTTTGAAATGGTATCGTCTTTTAACTATGTCAAACTGTAACCAAATGTCTGTACTTACCATAATATGCTTGAAAAACAATGACAAGAGTGAGTGATTAACATTTAACTTCGCATCAGCTTTATTTCAGCTATAAAGACACACTAAGCCATTCATCTGACGTGATCACATTGCATAAAGCATCTATCACGGACAATAGTGTGCCTCAGGTTTGTTAACAAATACATACAACAGCGATATCAACAGTAAAATATATTCCGTTGACACATACGAGGTGTTTGCAGTAGTGAATCATGTTCAATGTACGCTTGATGTTGGTTTTGTAGATATACATGTATGTGTAAGATGGCAGTTGAATATATGACATACAGGTCTGTCAATGTCAGCACTGTAAATGTTGTATTTAATTGATCAGTAAACATAGAAATATATAAACCGAACATTAAACAGACGTCTTCGATTAAGTGACGCATAATGTACTCACATGATTTGCCTTCGGGATGTTTTGTATAGTTGTTAACAGACAAGGAAGCTGTTAGCTGTTCGGGTAGATATCCATAGCTAATATGTTTTCGTGAGCCTCTCTATGAAACAGCATTCAGCAGTCTGTCATATTCATACTTATTCACAGAACTGAATACAGAATGAGTGTGTTTTTTTAAAGTTTTTTTTTAGTTTTAAGCCGCTATTAGCAATATTCCAGCAATATCACGTGCTCAGAATACAGAATGTATGAAAATGGAACAGGCAACAAACCACCTTGAGGTGTAAACTCGTATGGCGATTGTTATGTGCAAATTGATCGTCCAAATGGTACTGGTTGTCGTCTTTCCTCCTTTTGCATTTATCATACATCAGTATTCTTATTCTTATTAATCTTTTCGAAAACATCATTGGATTTCCTTTATGAAAGAGCTTTGTAAATATGGCTCTCACGTAGAATCCTGGGGTGAATAAAGTCAGTTCATGGTGGTAATACAATAAATTATACATGCTCGTGTGTTATCGCCTGTGACGACTGAATATTGTGTTATGGCATATTGCGGTAGGTTGGAAAACGTTTTCAGTTGACCATTTTGAAACTCCACGGTTGTTACAAAATGTGGTCTTTAAGTACCAATGACTGCACTGTGTACTTAAAAATGATTTTGTAAAGACACATGCTCATTATGTTTTTTAATCATACATTATTCATCACACGTGCTCATACTTAGAAATCCTTTCGAGAACAACACTGGATTTGCTTTAAGAGTGAGTGAGTGAGTTTTGTTTTACACCGCTTTTAGCAATATTCCAGCAATATCGCGGCGGGTGACACCAGATATGGGCTTCACACATTGTACCCATGTGGGGAATCGAACCCAGGTCTTCGGCGTGACGAGCGAACGTTTAACCACTAGGCTACCCCGCCGCCCCGCTTTATGAAAGAGCTTTGTAAATGTAGCTCTCATGCAGAATCATACATGGTGTCAATGATGGTGGTGTCAATCAGTTCTATATATGGTAATAGATGCTGTTGCCTCCTCCTTTGCATTTATCA